CAATAGCGACAAAGGTATCAGATGAGCCAGGCTATGCACCTAGGAGGAAACTGTTCAAGGATACATATGTAAAAAAAAAACTCAAGGGGCTAGGACTAAAATCAAAATAGCTCTGCTGGTGTGGCTCAGTGGTTGAGCGGTGACCTATGAACCAGGAGGTCAGGGTTGGATTCCCAGTCAGGGCACATGCCTGGGTTGTGGGCTCGATCTCAAGTAGGGGGTGTGCAGGAGGCAGTTGTCGAATGATTCTCATCATTGATGTTTCCATCTCTCTCCCTTCTTCTCTCTGAAATCAGTAAAAATATCTTTTAAAAACCCCAACACAATATAGAATAAGAAACCAACCAGAATCCTTTTTTCAAATGAGATCTTACTTTGGAGTCTCAAGAAATATATATATGTATATCAGGTATGCAAGGGTGGGGGTAGGAGTGAGGTCTCAGTGCTCTCTCGCTGCTGCTCCCACGTCAGTCATGTGCCCAGCGTCCTGCTCCCTCCGGCTCATCCCTAACACAGTTTGGAAACCACTGGCCTAGATAAGCTCGCAAGTGCCCTCCAGGCCTAACACTCAGTGGCTCTGTTGCCTTTGGCACCAGCGTGACCTCAAATCAAAGGAGCGCTTCTCGGTTCCACAACAGCCCTGCCAATAAAAACATGTAAACTCCACAAGTCATTTCAAGCCCTAATAGCCACCCTCTAAAAAGTGAAAAACAAAACAAAACAAAACAAAAAAACACATGCGACCTACATAACTTCACGTTTTCATTTGTCGTCAAAATCCAGCCCGTACTTGAAGCATGAGAGCACATCTCAGCTCATCTCTGCCACATGCCCGGTGTTCAGGAGTTACCTGTGGCGGGGGCTGCCAACCTGGTAACCACATTTATTTTTTATTTATTTTTTAAAAATATATATTTTATTGTTTTTTTTTACAGAGAGGAAGGGAGAGGGATAGAGAGTCAGAAACATTGATGAGAGAGAGATATTGATTAGTTGCCTCCTGCACAACTCCTACTGGGGATATGCCCGCAACCAAGGTACATGCCCTTGACCAGAATCAAACCTGGGACCTTTCAGTCCGCAGGCCAATGCTCTATCCACTGAGCCAAACCGGTTAGGGCCGGAAACCACATTTAGGGAGCCTGAGATGCTCAGAGCCTCTTCCTGAGTTACAACCACACCCTGCCCATGAACTTTAAGGGAAAGACCGATGCCTCCTGTGTCCAGACTCATGGGCAGGGAGGAAGCAGATGGGCCCACTTTGGTTTCCATCACCCCACCGAGTGCCTCCGTGGCTGGCCACCTCGTTAGGGGGCCCGGGGTCCTTTGATTAACCCTCTCCAGGCCTGGAAAGTGTCACCGATGTTTCACCAGGATGACCTCAATGACCTCAACTGAGTGCCACTTCACTTTCCCACTCCCCACTTCTTGCTGACTGAGTATCGCCTTTATTCTGAGATGTATTTTTTCTAAGTTTCCTCTAAGCCTTTCTCTGCCTGAATGCGAGTACTTCCAGGAGTCCACCTTGACCTTGAGGATTATTTTGCAAACCTGATTCTCACCTAGTCCCCAGCTTCTGCTGTTATCCCACACGTATAAACATTTGAGTGCACATAAAGGGAGTTGGTTAATGAATATGTTTGTTCTGTGTTACCCCTAGTATGTCTTATGCTAGAGGCCCGATGCATGAAGATTCGTGCAAGAATGAGCCTTCCTTCCCCCGGCTGCCAACACCACCTTTGCTCTGGCCAAATCTGCCTTTCCACCTTCCCACACTGCCCAGAGTTCCAGAGCTGCTGGGGTGGTGCAGAACACCTGCATCCTGCCCGGGCCCTGGCCACTCAGTGCCTGCATATGCAAATTAACCCACAATCTTTGTTGGGTTAATTTGCATACTCACATCTGATTGGCTGGTGGGCATCATGAAGGCATGGTCAATTTGCATCTTTCTCTTTTATTAGTGTAGATGTTGGCCTAAGTTCCCTTCATTTTTTGAGTTCAACATGGTACTTCGCGCTGAAAGAAACAATATTTTCCTTATGATGTTTGTTTGTAGGAACAAGGATATGGCTGAGTATAATGGTTAGAATACTAAAACACAATGAAGATGGCTGTTTCTTTGGGACTAAAGTTGAACATTAAGACTTTGCTGGTTTGTTGTACACATTTTTGGTTCATAGTCATTGGCTGGGTTGGTATTACAAATTTAAATCTAAGAGCAATACTTCAGATAGCATTTACACATTTATTATCTAAAAAAAAAGGAACAGAATCATCTCTTTTTGTATGAAAGAAGCTTAAAAGAACAGCGACGGAAAAATATCCATCTATATAATCTGATTCTTTTCTGCCACTCTATAATTGGGATATAAACTATATACTTCGAGATGCCTGATAATACAATAAGTACATCTTTGCATATGTTAATCACATGCTTATTTCATATTTCAGATTTGATAAATGATGAGAAATGTTGCCTTCATTTCCAATTTTTTTTTTTTGCCAGGAAGGCTTAGATTCTTAGTCAACTAGTCAATTATCACCACTAGTTTGAAACTATAATAAAACAATCATCTCATCAGATGAGTTACATTTCTTTTTGAAGTTCCTTTCCCCCTCTGGGCCTCACAGGAAAAGCTTATAAGAGCTCTCATGCAATTCTGTAAGTCCCTACTTTGTTTGGGCCTAGATACTGGGGTGTTAGCAATGAATTTATAATTTACCAGAGGCGTGGTGCACAAAATTCGTGCAAGGGGCTCGGCCCTGGCAGCTCTTGCTTCCTCTGGAAAGCCACCTGGAGGGATGTTTGGAAGGTTGTTAGGCTGTCTGGTCTAATTAGCATATTACCTTTTATTACAATATTATAGATGGATCCTAAGTACCCTTAATTAGATACACCCCAGTTCCTGAAACAAGAACAATGCTTTTTTTTTTTTTTTTTTTTTTTTACTGATTGCCTTTTATCAGCAACCTTTCCCCCTCCCTGAGTATTTGCACCAGAATTTCCCCCGTTTTTGTTTGCTTGTCTGTTTTAGTTGGGATATTCCCATTTCACAGATCAATGAATGAATGGTGAGTCTTGGATGGATCGGCACACAAATGTTCACGAGTTAATGAACATTTCCCCCCAACAATGATCCGGGGGGAGAGATGCCTTCGCTGTTTAAGCTCTAAAGAGATGCAGGGTTGCCAGTGCCTCTGGAAGGTTCTTTTCTGGTTTCTATGGGAAGTCCCCAGAGCAGACTTTCCTGGCCAGGGCCTGCTGATCCCCAAAGGTGTGAGAACCAAATGCTGCGCACCCACCGCCGCGCATGTGTGCTGGCGTGTGCGTGCGTGGAGCGGGGACTGCAGAAACCCTTTCCTGTTTGAGGTAACTGGATGCATTCACTTCCAGTGGAAACACTGGCCTGAAATCTAGCGTGTGTGTGTGTGTGTGTGTGTGCGCGCGCGCGCGCGTGTGTGTGTGTGTGTGTGTGTGTGTATAGCCCCCCGGAGCTCCCCAAGGGGATTTCTCTGACGAGTGCATTGAGCTCTGAGAGCTAGCAGATCTGCGCTTAAAGCACTAACATGCATGTGTCGCTACCGCTTAGCTGACTTGTCAGGCCTGGAGCCCGAAACTTGTCTCCAACACCTTCCATCGGGTGAGAGGGGAAAACCAGAGCAAACTACTCTGACTTGCTCACAAGGGCTCCCCGGCTCAGGGCACGGACGCATCCCACCCACTCTTTCCCCTGCCAGGCTCTCTGAGCAGGAATGGGCTCAAGGAGGGGGGCCTGCATCCTCAGGGCTCTGCGATGCAGGCTCTCTGCAGTCCCTCTCCGCATCTTAGCGCCAGACAACTTTCTCTGCATTTCCCTGAGATTTCGGCGCAAGCCTGGTTATTTGCACCGGGTTCAGGTTCCTTTCCGCGGCCAAGGCTCCTGCAGAGTCTCAGGGCGGCCGTCCTGGGCTTGCCAGGGGCCCTGCGGGGTGACCTGGCTTAGGGGAGGGAGGGGGTGGTGGCGGGCCCGGCCTAGGCGGGTGGCACTGGTGCCAGGGCTCCAGGATGCGCCCCTGTAGCTTCCTGCCTGAGCCCAGGCCGCTGCCTCCGAGCAGCCCTCCAACCGACCCGCAGGGTGGTGGGGGGATCGAGCCCGGGCCAGGAGGCGGAGGAGGCCCCCGGGGGCGTGCCCGGGGCCCAGAGGGCCCTGCGTCCCCGCCGCACGCGCTCCTGGGGCAGCGGTTTGGGAAGCCGGAGGGGCAGCGACCTCTGCGGGCGGGCGGGCGGCCGGCCGACGCTTCCCTGCGGCCTCGGCGAGCAGGGCGGGCCTCGCCGGCTCCCGGTGGCTTCCGAACCCCGGACGCGGGCGGAGACGCGGCGATGCTCGGGGCTGCGCGCTCGCCAGGGTCCCGGGGAGGGTCCCGGCGCGGGCGGCTCAGCGGCGGCGTCCGGAATCTGGGGTGGTGAGGGTCTGTGCATCCCCTCGAGCCGCTCCCGGCACCCCGTTTTCCCTTTTTGGGGGACAGGGATCGCTCCCGATGTCTCTCCTTTAGAAAGTTACTCCGGCGCTTGTATCACCGGATGATGCAGAGAGAGAGACCGCGCGGTGGTCTGTCCCCCGCGGACCCCACCCTTCCCCCCAGGGCGATCCCGTCCAGTGGGCAGAGCCAGGTGGAGCCCAGCTGTGAACCCCGAGCCGGTTGACACCTGGGGCCCCCCCGAAAGGGTTAAGCGCGCCCCGCTGAAGGCTCGGGTTTACATGTAAATACAGAGCAGCTGCTCCGCGCGGCCCGGCCGGCCCGTCTGACGTCGTTGATTGGTTGCCAATGACATCACCGCCCGCGTTCTAAGCGGCGGAGCGGCGGCCCGGGCGGGGGGAGGAGCGCGGGGAGGCCACGCCCCTGACACGCCCCCTCCTGCCGCCCATTGGCCGCGGGCTGCTGTGAGGTAACGGTCCGCGCTCCCCGGGTCCTGATTGGCCCGGCGCGCCGTCGGTCGGCCCCCGGCCCGCCCCGCTCCCCCCCCAGGAGCCGTACATGTACGGTCCTCGCCAAAGAGAAAGTAACTATGTTGTTGTGGCTGGAGATCAATGAAGCCGAGTGAATGGGGGGCTGAGTCGCGCGAGTCCCAACACGGAGGCGGGCGGCGCCAGCCAGATGGTGGAGGGCTGCGCTCCTTCATGAAAGTGAGTGGAAGTCCCCGCGGCGGCCCCGGTGTGCGTGTGAGTGCGTGAGTGTGAGTGTGTGTGTGAGTGTGTGGTGTGCGTGCGTGTGAGTGTGTGAACGTGTGAGCGTGTGTGTGTGAGTGTGTGTGAGTGTGTGTGTGTGTGTGAATGTGTGTGTGAGTGTGTGAATGTGTGTGTGTGTGTGTGAATGTGAGTGTGTGTGTGTGTGAATGTGAGAGTGTGTGAATGTGAGAGTGTGTGTGTGAGTGTGGCGATGCTCACGGGGAGCCGGGGCAGGCAGGTGAGCTCAATCTGGGGGTGCCGGCTGTTGGTTGTTGGCTCGCGCCGCGCGGTGCGTTCACGCTCTGCAGTCTGTTTGGGTGATTTTGGACGAAATGGGAAGGAAAAATAAAAGAGGTTTGTCGGGACGCTTTGCTGCAGTTTTAAATACCGGGAGCTGGTCGCTGAGCTGTGTTGCGAAGGATGGGGGGATTGGGGGTGGTGTTAGGTGCCCCAGGAGCGGGGAAGGAGCGTCCTCCAAGCTCTTGATTTTTCTCCCATGTCAGCCTGTGCCTATGGACCAGCCCAGGGGAGAGGGGCGCAGGCAGGCGGCTCAGGGTCTCCAGGAGGTTCCCAGGGCCGGTCTGGCCGGTTTCGCGGGGCCGGGTGTGTAGACAGAAGCCGGGCCGACCGGACCCTCTGCTGCAGGGATGCAGATCGCGCTGTAGACACTCGGTGCGTGCGTGTGTGTGTGTGTGTGTGTGTGTGTGTGTGTGAGAGAGAGAGAGAGCCGCTCACGCACCCCGCCTGGAGGTGGGGGCCCAGCGGGAAGTGGGCTGTGCATTCTCCCTGGACGCTCCGGGCCAGGTGACACCATAGCCAAGACTTGCACCGCTGGGTCCGGCTGGGAAACAGTTCTAGCTTCCGGAATAGTACTTGGCTCTTCAAAAAAATAAAAAATAAAAATACTACGCCAGGGAGGGAAGAAGGGCTGGAAGGAGGGGGGGAGGGAGGGAAGGGGTTGGGTGCCTCGCTCCCATCCAGAGCTGGGGGGGAGGAACCTGAGTGGCCAGGGACCTGCGGGTGGGGTGCCTGCGTGCCCATGTGTGCGTGTGCATGCGTGTGTATGTGTGTATATGTGTGTGTGTGGGGGGAGGAGGGGTTCTGCTGGTGACACTTGGGCTCCTGTCAGGAAATGGTGACATCTCCCCAGACAGCTCTTGAAGTTGCTTTCAACGAGTGACTCCTGCACAGGGTTCTGTCTCTGGGCTGTGTGCACGGCTGATAGCAGGGCTGTGGGGGGGAGAGGAGAAGGCAGAGGAGGGCGCCCCTGTGCCTTCAAGGAGTAAGGAACTGCGCCCCCTTCCCAGGCCGATCCTGTGGGCAGCACTTCCCTGCCGCCAGGCGAGCTAGGAGGTCATCTTTACGGGTTCCATCGCCCTGAAGAGGGGGATCTCTGTGTGGGGCTGAAATATTAAACGCCCAGCGCCCGCCTCCCGCCCAGAGCAGCCCTAAGATGCACAGTCCGTGCCTTTGGGGGAAATGAAGTTAAAGCAGGCGGTCCTTTCCCTAAAAGCCCTAAAGGCGAGCGTAGGGGGTGGGAGGGTGGGGGTGGAGGGTAGCCAGGGAGCACAGAGGGACGGATCTGCCCAGGGCTGGGGTTTCCAGACCTGCCTGGCTCCTCGGCCAGAGGCTCCCTCTTTGGACACCGGTTTGCAATCAAAGGGGAAACGCAGGCTGATGAGCAGGCTCAGAGGCAGCACCGGGCTTCAGTGCATCCGGCTGTGAGTGCTTTGCAGAGGGCTCAGCGGAATGGAAGGCGAGAAGAGCTCCCCACTAAAGAGACAGACGCACTTGGGGGAGGGGGGATGCTTTCATTCTGAGGCGCAGAAAGTTGCCATCCGCCCCGATGTATATTTAGCCGCTGGCTGTATGTTTCTGTGAGCCCTGCCCGTGTGCGGGGCCATTCCCCTGCCTTGGCAGCGGGCAGGGGGTGACGTGGAGAGTATGCCTGGGTGGCCCAGTGGGTATTCCTCGGATAATTGCGCTAGATGGGGCTGCCGGGGAGACAAGGCCTAGGATGGAGACCTCCTCAGAGCCTTCCTTTCTGTCTCAGAGTTTTGCATCTCTGTGCTTGTGCCTTTTCTGAGGGTGAGCATCAACCATGTAGGTCCGAGAGAGGTGGCTGATCAGCGTGTGCCTCAGGACAATGCATGGAACCTCTGGCTCAGGGACCAGATAGGTGGGCGTGCTCAGGTTGGCTTCCTCTCTGAACCCCGTGCCCACGAGTCTCCAGGTTCAGGAGAAGCGTGAGAAAAGGTGATCCAGGACCACACTGCTCAGAGGGATGCAGCGAGCTGCTTCTCCTAGGGATGGGATCCGGCTGCCTTCTGTGTCACGTGACTTGATTCTTTCCCTCCCTCCCCTTCCCTTCTTTACAGACTGTCTTGAGTTCTTCTTGAATCGCCAGCGTTCAGCCTCCTCATGCCTCCGTCTCCTTTAGACGACAGGGTAGTAGTGGCACTGTCCAGGCCCGTCCGGCCTCAGGATCTCAACCTCTGTCTAGACGCTAGCTACCTTGGCCCCGCCGCCCCGGGCGGCCACAGCCACCACCCTCCCGTCATCGCCGCCACCTCCACCGTCGTGTCCCTCAAGGCTGCGAACCTGACGTATATGCCCTCATCCAGCGGCTCTGCCCGCTCCCTCAATTGTGGATGCAGCAGTGCCAGCTGCTGCACTGTGGCAGCCTACGACAAGGACACTCAGGCCCCAGCCCACGCCGCCATCGCCTGCCCGGCCACCCAGATGGTCAACAACAATGAGAACGCAGGCCCTCTGAGTCCGGCGGGCGGGGTGGTGGGCAGCCCCGTGGCGGGGACCCCCAAGCAGCTGGCCAGCATCAAGATCATCTACCCCAACGACCTGGCCAAGAAGATGACCAAGGGCAGCAAGAGCCACCTGGCCAGCCAGGGCCCCGTCATCATCGACTGCAGGCCCTTCCTGGAGTACAACAAGAGCCACATCCAGGGAGCCGTCCACATCAACTGCGCCGACAAGATCAGCCGGCGGAGGCTCCAGCAGGGCAAGATCACCGTGCTGGACTTGATTTCCTGCAGGGAAGGCAAGGACTCTTTCAAGAGGATCTTCTCCAAAGAGATCATCGTTTACGACGAGAACACCAACGAGCCCAGCCGGGTGATGCCGTCCCAGCCCCTCCACATCGTCCTCGAGTCGCTGAAGAGAGAAGGCAAAGAGCCTCTGGTGTTGAAAGGTAAGGGAATGCTCCCGTCCCCGGCATCAGCGGCGGTGTACCCCTGATTCGCCTGGGGTCACTCGGGGTTTCCCCTCAGAGGTACCAGCACTCTCCCCACCCTGCCTATACCCGCAAAGACCAGAATAGACGTCCCTCTCGTCTGCCCTTTCTGAATGAGTTGTTGTGGGATGGTGAGAGGAACCCGGTAGCATTGAACTGGAAGCCAGGAAATTTGGGTTCTGGTCTTGCTTCCCCCTTCTGATTTGCATCGTGCAAGCCGTGTCCACCTCTCTGAGACTCTTCAAGGCCACCCCCCCCCCCCCCCCGTTTTTCTCCCCCAAAGGGGCTTTTATAACCCCAGAGGGTGGCTCAGGTCCCGCCTGGTCTGGTAGCTCTCGGCCAATCAATCACTGGCTGGAAAGTTACTGTCTCTCAGACTTCACACAGGTTGGTGGGATGGAGGTGGAAACACAGGTACCCGTTCTTTTTTTGTGGGAAAGTCTGCCTCGTTTTCACCTCTGCCATCAGCTTGGGTTTTAGGTGGTTTATAAAGTGACCTAGAGAGAGGCCAGAGACCCTTAGTACGTGGCCCCACAGTATAAGTTCCTCAGAAACATCTGTTCCTCGGCCGTGGCTCTAAGGGACAGAGTCATTCCCATGAGCTACTCCCCACCCCATTGTTCCCTGTGGCTGCACCCTACGATCGTTGGCATCATGGCTCCCCCCAAGATAGGGCGCTGGTCACTCGCCTCAGTGTGTTCCATGCAGAAGATCTCGGAGGTCGTGGTGCTGATCCCTGGCAGGAGGAATTCATTCCCCACTATTCTCTGAGCTCCTTCTACCCTGTGTTGCATAACCAAATGGGGCCACCCTGGACCCCTTTGTCCTTCTTGCCTCTTGGCCCCCAAGATACCATCCTTTGGGGGCACCGCACCTCATGCTTGGTCTTCAGTGTCTTCTGTCCGGTGGTGGTGGCTCTGAGAGATCATCTTCTTTCTTCTCTTATGTCTGAGCCAAGGTACTCAGTCTGGGCCATAGTGCCCGCTGGCCTCCAGAACTGTGTTGACCAAAGGGTCCCTCTGAGCTTCTTACATGCTTCAATGGCAACAGGCCGTTGAGGTGAGCAAGTGAGTCGTCGTTGCGTCTCTGTGAAGGCAGCCCTGCCATTCCCCTTCTGGTCTTCCCGGCGATGAAGTCTGCCTTTGGCTAAGGCCCATTCTTGGAAATATGGTTCTGAGTTCCTCTGATATAACCCGCCTGCCCACCTTCCTCCGATGCCCCCTCCCTGGAGCCAACTACCACAAAGTCACAGCTACCCTTTGTCGTGGGCTCTGAGGGGAAGAATGCCCTCGTGGAAGTTGTATCTAGAGAGTTCTGGCAGCAACTAGTCATTTTTGTTGTTGTCCTTCTTGGGTTTTCTTGGGTTTACAAATTTCCTCTGTATGGTGTGGCTTTATATTCTTGTTTGATTGGCGTTGAGTGATTCCCAGTAAGGTGATCAGCTAGTGCTTTCTGACCATGATCTTGGCTTGGCTTAACTTTTTTTTTTTTTGATGAGAAACTACAACCTACACATTTCTTCCATTGGTGATCGTTTGTCTTGGGGAGCAGACAGAGTGTGGAGTCAATGGACTTAATGGTTGTCTCTCTGCTCATGCAGAGTCGATGTTGAGAAAAAGCAGGCCTTGTGTGTCTGCAGACTCCGAGGATAGGCATCAGCGGACCCCGGACTTGAACTTGAGGTTGGCTGGAGGCGTTGTAGATCCCCTCCCTTCTTTTCTGGCCGTGTGTATGGGGGTGTCTTGTCAATCGCTGAGAAAGGAGTCTCCTGGGTGCTGCCGATGGAAGTGGGGTTCCTCCTCCGCTCCTGTGGGTGCCGCTGGGACTCCGGCCGCCGGGGTTGTCCCTCCGTGTCAGGGAGGGAGAGTGGCTCCATGGGCGGGGCCGGACATGCCGCTGACCTCACCACTGGGCGCCCTGGGCGGCCACCGCGAGGGCTCCTCATTTGCGGGTCAGTGAGACACAGCGGAGGCGGCGGTGGACCTGGAAGAGGTGCTGGTGGTAGAGGTTGGACTATCTGGAGCTTTGGGGGCGCTTTTTCTTCCATTTCCTGGGAATTTGCTTGAAAAAAAAAAATCTGTAGTTCAGGAGCAGAAGGGTCTATCATCATCTACTCTTATTTATTATCATCGTCATTATCCTTTTGGTCTCTCTGTGGGGGAATGGCCTACAATGTGGACCAAGATGGGAAAGAAGGGAGAGCAATTCGCCAGGATGCCCCTCGCTGCCCTCTCACCTGGGCAAACCAAAGGCTGATGATGCCAGCGCACCATGGAGTGAGGGGATGGGGTGGGCATCCCTCAGAAGGCATGGCCAGCTCCTCCTCGGACCAGGCTCTTGTGTGGGTCCAGCAGACCATGCTGGCCTGGCCTCCCTCCCTGCTGAGGGTTCTTTTTCCTGATTCCAGCCCCTGGCTGATGGGAGGTTTTATTTTAGCAAGCGCGGCCGTGGTACCATTTTGGGAATGAGTTGAGTTTTTGCAGGGAAGCGATGGTGATGGGTGGGAGGGAGACTCTCCAAGAGTAGACATTTCTGAGGCCTCCTGAATGTATTTTCAGAGATTTCAGTAACGGCCTCCCGGGTAATTTATGGCCGGCCCACCTGCTGCCCGGGTGTGTGTTTGTAAACACTGGTTGCTACCCTCCCTGGCCAACTGCCCTGTCCCCTGCTCAATGCCACGTTCTCCATGTTTGGTGCTGCCGGCCCGGGGACCGTTTTAGTAATGCTGTGTCAGGCCGGGAAGCAGGCGATCAGCGCTGGAGCCCCTGAGATCAAGTTGCTGTCTTCACTTAAAATCCCCTCCCCAGCGTGGCCCGCGTCCGAATCCATGGCCGAGCCTCAGCTTCCGCAGAAAACACGGCCTCAGACCCGCGCCTCTGCCCAGCCCCGAGAAACGGAGAGAGATTGAGGGATTTGCAAACTCTTGGAACAAATTAGGATCTGTTTTTACCCAAACGGGATGTCGAATGTGATTTCTAGCATTAAGGAATCAGAAGGTTAGACAATCCCGAGATGAGGGCTAACCATCATCACTGTGATGCTTGTCAGGCTCCTGAGGTTGGGTTCAGGGAAATAATTTGTCATGGACCTCAAGAGGCATCCCCACCTCCTTAAAAACGGCCTTTAAAATGTTTACTACAAGAAATTTCAAATGTAGAGAAAAGTAGGAAAGTGTGGATCGAGCGCCATATGCCTGTCACCAGATTTCAATTAGTACTATCTTCCCTATTTGCCTTCTCTTCCTTTTTTTTTAATTGAAAACATTTATGGAGCAGACAGTATTTTAACGTATCTAAACACGTTTTATGTTTAAAGCTGATGTTTAAAAATTAAGAAGGCTGGGATATTTTATAGTCGAGCATGGACAACATTTTTACTCAATATTGCAGCGTCATGGGACCGTTTTTGGAGAATTTTCGCGAACTCGTAACTTCTGCTGTGACTGCCAGGTGGTCAGGGTTATGGAGAAGCAGCCCTCCTCCTTTGGGGGGGCTGGAGGGAGGGCTCCAGGTGGTAACAGGGGTCCAGGGCTTCCCGCTCTGCTCAGCTATGTCAAGGTCCATGCCTGCACTTGCTCTGCGCTGTCACAAAACAAAGCCTGACTCAGAGGCGTTTATTGGGGAGCAGGGGGAGGACAGGGAGTTACCTCAGGAGCCTGTTCCCTAGAGAAGATTTGGATAACACGGGGCTGTGGTTGGCAAAGTGCGGCTCCCGAGCCACAGGCGGCTCTTTGGCCCCTCGAGTGTGGCTCTTCCACAAAATGCCACGGCCTGGGCGAGTCTATGTTGAAGAAGTGGCGTTAGAAGAAGTTTAAAGTTTAAAACATTTGGCTCTCCAAAGAAATGTCAATCGTTTAGCTGTTGATGTTTGGCTCTGTGGACTGATGAGTTTGCCGACCACTGTCCTAGGGGGTTAGACCCTCACACTGTAAACCTTCCCGCCCTCCCTCCTAATGAGCAACATGGATTTCACGTTCGCCGTAGTCAGCAAGGATTCTGAGGTAAACCTGAGGGCAATGTGAGTGGGACAGAAAGATCTGGAGGCTGTGCTCAGAAGTCAGAAACCCTGGGAGCCTTTTCCTTCTCTCTCTGCTGTGTTTTGTGGGGGGAATACACGATTTCCTCTTGTCTCTTGGGGATGTTATGAGGACATTTCTCGATTCACAAACGCACCGTCGTCATTCGGGACCTCTGATTAACACCTGAACGTGGCTAACATGAGCGCTTGCAGCGGAGGGGAAATTCAGGCCGGACCTGGGATCTGGTCTGAGTTCTGGTCTTGCTCTCCTCCCCTCACCCTGCCTTTGCCTCCGATGTTCACCCCCTTACCTCTCCCCTGTCCCGCCCTTGCTGGGCCCAGTAGCTATTTCATAGTGGTAGTTAGGCACACAAGGAACTAAAGCCTGCAGAGTGTTTAAGTAGTTCCTCATGGTAACGACTCAAACATGCCGCTTAGTATCAGTGCTGTTGGTTGAACAGGAATGATGGTGCCAGTAAAATAGGCAGTTTTGGCTCCTTTTCTGAAGGAGTACAGCTAACAGGCTAGGTACAGCAGCGTGTGTGTGTGTGTGTGTGTGTGTGTGTGTGTGTGTATGGCTGTCGGCTAAAAATAACCTGGTGACTGGCTCCTAATTTAAGTAGCCTACAGTTGGAGTGCCAAGCAATTACAAAAACATGTTGGGTCAAGAGGCCAGAGTAGTTCCGGCCTACCCTGGAATTATGCATGTGGAGGGGGATTTGTAAGAATGCGATGAGACATCTGTGCGCGTAACGCCCCATAACTCAGTAGTGAAAGCAGAAAACTCTTAAGCTTTGCTTTTTCTGCCCCCTCACCCCCACCCCCCACCCCCTTAAGGCCGGTTTATTTTTGGAGTCAGGATTGTAGTCTGACTATAAAAGGGGAGGTGGGAGGAGGGGCAGCGCTCTCCCTGTGGAAAGTTCTGGAAGCTTTGGGATGGG